CCAAATTTCTGAGCCCTTCTGGTCCATCATCCTGCTGGATCCTGAGCCAGGATCCGTGAGGCTGGTACCCAAGCAATGAGCATGACTGAATCCTCTCCAGGACATTCTAATGAGCAACCAGGCTCTCAAGCTACAGGTTTTAATGGTCTAAATGATATCGATATGAGCTCCCTTTTCAAAGGGCCTTATCAATGTGGGATACTGTTATTTTTGTCATTATTTTACTTAACACTGAATGTTGTATAATAACCTTCTATACAAATAAATCCCAAGTGAAATAAAATGAATACCTGAGTATATTGTGATATTGTGATTTATAAGAAGAAGTAGATGTTTGGTTTTGTCCTGTTTCTGGTTCACTGCTCCTCTAACCCTTGGAATTTCCAGAACCATAAGAGGCAGGGGGAATATCTTTTGTTTTATTTGGTCTCTTGTCCTTTTTTCCTGGAATCTCCTCAGAGCCATAAAAATGAAATGGGTGTCTTGTTTGTATAAAGACTTTTCAACAGACACTGAGTTATGTTAATGAGGTGACTGTAGGAATCCCTAAAGCTGTGGATGGGGGTGGTGACTGGCCAGCAGGAGCTTGTCGCTAGGGGACCAACCATGTGATTAGAGAGTTGGAATTTTCAGTCCCACCTTCCTGGAGGAGATTGAGTTTAAGTACCTATAGTCAATGATTTATTCAATCATGCCTGTGAAATGAAACCTCTGTAAAAACCCCAAAGGATAGGAGTCAGAGAGCTTCCAGGTTGGCGAGCAAGCGGTCATTTGGGGGATGGGGCCTGCTAGAGAGGGCGTGGAAGCTCAGAGCCCCTCCTACACCCCCTGCCTTATGCACTTCTTCTGTCTAGCTGTTCCTAAATTGTATCTTTTTATAATAAACTGGTAATCTGGTGAATAAGATATTTCTCTGAGTTCTGTGAGCCACTCTAGCAAATTAATCAAACCCTAGGAGGGGATCATTGGACCCTCTGACCTATAGCTGGTAGATCGGAAGTACAGGTGACAATCTGGATTTGTGACTGGTATCTAAAGGGAACAAGGAGGAGTCCTGTAAGACTGAGCCCTTAACCTGGGGGATCTGAAGCTCTCTCTAGGTCTACAGTGTCAGAATTTAGTTAAATTACAGGACACTCAGCTGGTGTCAGAGAATTTCTGGGTACAGGAAGCCCCCACACGCAAACACACACACATTGGAATTACTCTCAGAATCATTATGCGGCCTATCCTGGTTCTTGGTTCTGTATGTCCCTTGAGATACACAGCCTTTCTAGATTAAAATTAGGGTCAGGTAATTTAACCACCCAACAGCCCCACAGGATCAGATTAAATGTGCTGCCAATTTGTTTAATCCTATGGAAACCCTGAGAGATGAGGTTGGTGGCCCCCAGTTTTTAAGGGAAGCAATTAAAGCTTGGGAAGGCACATCACTGTAGGGAAGGTCCCATAACTGGGAAGTGGGAGGGTTGAGACCAAACATCAGAGTCAAGGGTTCTTTGCATTAGATTTTAACTGCTTCCTCCTCCTACCATGGAGCTTAAAACCCCACCATTTCAAATGGTGGATGGCAAACAAGTAACACTAATGAGGGCAGTAATATCACATTATCAACTCTTCAAGATGCTTTCACATCTTTTGTGTGTCAGAGTCCTCTGAAATAGCAGCCTCAGGTGTCTATTACAAGGCTGTCCTCCATTTCAAGGTGGGGTGGGGTTTCAAAAAGTTCAAAATCTCCCAGGGAGTGAACGCTATCAGCGCATACGAGCTACGTTCTCAGGTTATCCCACTATGAGCCTGCACAGTGCTGAGGAGGAGGCTGCGACAGGGGCTGCTCACGACCCCCATCGGGGGAAACATAAACTTACAAAGTGATCTCGCATCTCCACTCCTGGGTACCTACCCAAAAGAAATAAATGGAAACACATATCAATACAATGACTTGTACGCAAAACCTCATGGCTACCAAAAACCAAAACCAAAACCGAACAAAATTAATAGCCACATTATTCACTATAGCTAACAAGTGAAACAACACAAATGTCCTTCAACAGATGAACAGGTAAACAAAGTGTGGTGTATCCATACGACCAAACACTATTTAGTCTTAACAGGAGTGAAGTATCACACATGCCGCAGCATGGACACATCTCAGGGGACATTGTGCTAAGTGGACGCAGCCAGATGCAGAGAAGTGCATGGTGTACCATCCCGTTTCTGTGAGATGCCCAGAAAAGGCGAGTCCTGGAAGCCGAAAACAGACCGGTGGCCTCGTGGGACTAGAAGATGGGAATGGGTTAATTATAAAAGAAAACAAGGAGGATCTTTGCGAGCTGTTAGAAATGTTCTAAAGTGTGATTGTGGTCCTGGTAGCACCCCAGTGAAAGTTTACTAGAAACGAAATCATTGAATTTCTCACTTAAAATGGGTAAATGTTATGCTATGTAAATTTTATCTCACTTAGTGTGCCCATGCGTGCGTGCATGCATGTGTTAGGAGCCTTCCAGAAGTAAGGCAGCAAGGTCATGGTGGTTCAAATTTTGACTTCTCCTTTACTCACCAAAACTTGCTAGCAGAACATCAGATATCTTGTCCATGGGAAATTGCACAGGAAGCCAGATTCGAGAGACGTGTTGAAACCAAAGTCCACTGTAAATTTATAATGAAGAAACTGACCTTCCCAGGAACAAGAAGGTTTCTGTTGCCCTTCCAGAGCTCACACTTTCGGCACTGAATATCTGGCAGGTTGTTGGCCATCTGGAGCCCACTCTCTGGGCATGGTGTAAGAACCTGGGTGATGGATGGGGTCAAGGATGGCTCACACTGGCCACCCAAGAAGCCACAAACCAAACCAGCCACTTAGTGGAGATGCCCATTTATGGTCCAGTTTGCTGATGTTTCCCAGATTCAGTGACTCTCAGCCAGGGTGTTACAGGTAAATCACTGTCAAGTCTCTCTCTCTCTCCCTCCCTTTGTTTGTTTGTTTGTTTCTTTCTTTCTGTCCTTCCTTCCTTCCTTCCTTCCTTCCTTCTTCCTTCCTTCCTTGCTTCCTTCCTTCTGAGAGGGCACAAGTGAGCGAGGGGCAGAGAGAGAGAGAAAATCCCATGAGGGGTGTAGAAAGAGAGATAGAGAGGAGAGAAACAGAGAGAGAGAGGGAGAGAAGCAGGGCTTATGTTCACCCAAAGTGGGGCTCGAGCTCACCCATTGTGGGACTTGAATTCACGAACTGTGAGATCATGACCTGACCCAAAATCTGACGGTTAACCTACTGAGCCACCCAAATGCCCAAGTCTATTTCATTTTGCTCTCCTTTAGCCTGCTCCACTCAGAAAACTCATGTCTGTTCAAGCAGACTTTCTCTAGCCAGAACACTGTTTCTTTGTTCATGTGTATGATGACGTTATAGATTTATCTTCTTAAACTGTGGGGTGATTATGCTGACCCACTTTCCTGACAGGAAGATGTGAAGGTGTGACTGCAGGTGGTCAGCCCTCCCACTATCTCTAAAAGCCCTGCTCTCCTAGAATCTGGAGATGCCCAATACTCCTATAGATTAAACACAGGGTGTAGACATTGCCTTGAACCTCATACACTTCTTATTCTCTTAAATATGAATTGAACAGTTGCCTTTTCTCAAAGTGGGTTTAATATTGGAATGTTCCTAGTATCTTCTCTTCACATGGAATCCCGATCTCTTAAGCTACCTGTTCGTTCCTCACGGAATTGGATACAAAGACTGGGATAGAACTGGGTCATCACCATGCTCCAGATAACTTAATAGCATTGCCTGAGAAAGTGGGCAACTCTGGGGTGGGCCAGTCTGACATGTATAGGTCACATCGGGTCTGCCCCCCTCCCATGGAATTGCAGGGACTCCGAATAGGGACTTAGATGCTTGGCACTGGAGAGACTGTCTGCATGTTGCCAAAATAATTAGTGAGCTTTGGCTGCTTGCTGGGAAGGGTCTGCCAGCCCTGATCCCAACCTTCCCTAGACCTGTAGCTCTAACACGAACCCCAGCCCTAGACTCGGATCACCCCCTTCTTAAATGTGATAAAAATACCAAGCACCCAGCATGATGGTGGCATGTTCCCATCACTAACATTACTATTTCACCCTTAGCACCATCTACTATCATCCCAACAACAATGTTGTTCCTACCTTCAGATTTAATAAAAAATTATTTATATTTGCTGAATGCCTAGAGTATCCCATGTCTGAATACTTCTCACCATTACATTAATTGATCTACCTGTAGATTTATAGATGATCTATACATCTCCCAAAATCTAAAAAAATTAGCTTTTTATCTGTATTCTGTCATCTATTTATATCTAATCCAGGGTTTTTTAGTATCAGCACTACTAGCAATTTGGGAAGGATAATTCTTGGGGGTCTGTCCTATTCTTGTGGGGTGTATAGCATAATACTAAACTTTTGTCCACTAGATTTTAGTAGCACTCACTACCCAAGCTATAGGAGTCAAAAATGTCCCCAAACAATGCCGCATGTCCCCTTGGAGGAAAGGAGAACAAGATTAATCTATTATCTATTCATTTATTTCTATTGCTTATTTCAAGAAGGTATGGAGGAGACATTATCACTCCCATTTTACAGATGAAGAAACTGAGGTTGAGAGTTTAGATGATTTATACAAGTTTACAGGAGTATTAAGTGGTGGAGCTGGGTTACAAAGTAAATTTGCCTTATTAGAAAAGGCCATTTTTTTCTATGATGCTAGGCCATTTTAAATTAAATGTAATGCTATGCACTTTATCCTTAATGCCATTATTCTCCTTTATTTTGAACCTAAAATCATTTCCAAAGTTAACTCTGACTCTCAAGTCAACACGTAAGACTTTCAGCCAAAACCTATGTGAATGTATTTATGCTCCAAACCATCATTCGAATCCTGTCTTCAACTCAAGATGTAACCTTATTTCCAACCTCAGTTCTCCAATAAGTGCTTTCTAAAGTCTGTTTCGTGTCATCCCACACAGTGCGGGCTAGATCTCAGACTGGAAGAGAGCCCTGCAGTGCCTGTTAACCGAGCAGCAGGAGGGGATAAGCCCATTTACTACCAGGAACATGTCTATCATTCCATCTTAAAGAAAAAGGATTCCTTCTCTGGTGAGCCAGCAGGTAAGTGGGCATACAGACCCTCGGCTGCCACACATCCCCGAAGGTGGGATATTTGGAAGTTCCAATAACAGAAGGCTTCTATTAGTGCTTTCCAGTGACAGCTAGAGTTATAAGTGTAATCCTGGAAAACTGAGCAAATGGAAAAGGGGGCTTTTAACTGATCAGTTCACTTCTCTGGGCCTGATGTTTTGATTCAGGTTTTACAGAGTGGTTTTGATTTCTGCCACAATGCTCTGATGCCCATTAGGTGGCTGACAGCTTCTGGCCTCCATGTCCGGAATTTAAACAGGGAGAAGTATTGTTTCATGGCAATTAACGGTGATGCTTGGAAGAGATGGCAACAAGCTGAAAAAAATTAATTGAAAATTTAACCTTCAAATGAAAATACTTAGACCTTAGGCTTCCATTTGTAAGCAGCTTATGCTGTCTGTGCCTATGCTGTTATATTATTTAAGTATTTTCTACACCATTTCTGATTAATACAGCAGTGCTATTTTCCAGTCCAGTCTCCTTAATAAATATATGTGTCAAATATCTGTTTCCTCCCCTGAATGCAAAGACTTTTAACTTCCCTCGTTTGCATGTGCTAACTGGTTGTGTAACGAGATTAACAGCTCTGTCTTCTTTTTTTCTTCAGCAGATTTTATAAGAAAAGCCGGTGGGCTCCCAGATAGAGTTAAAAAGGTACCTTCTTTAATTTTGCATATTGTTAGCTGCAATCCAGTTGCTAATGTTTGTTTTATTTCCATCTGTCAAAAGCAATGCCAGAATACGTTGTGTTTGTCTTGAGTTGGCTCAGTTAATCCTCTGCTGGAAACAGTTCTATCATTTCATGTGTGGTTAAGGCCCTGAATTCGCCAGCGCCCATACTAGGTCCCATCTCTGCCAAAGGCAGTCAGTGCACATTCAATACAACTTTCTGGGAAATGTCGGCTTGACACAGAAAAAATGAGAAAGGTGGGGTAGTGCCCTAGGCGGAAACGTTAATTTGGAGCCAGCCCAGTCTCTGCAGTGGGCCCTGGGCTTGATCCTGTAAACCTTTTCCGTGGAGGTAGCAGAGCCCAGCTAATAGGTCACATGGGAAGAGTGGCTTTGTCAGTCTCAGCATGGGGCCACCCCCAGATGCGCTGCCTCCGTGTGAATCTGACAGTGTGTGCATCTGCTGGGACTGCCATAATAACAAAATACCACAGGCCGCATAGCTCAAAGAACAGACACATCTTTCTTCGCAATTCCGATGCTGACGGTCCAGGAGCTCGGTGTTGTCTGGCTCCGTTTCTTCTGAGGTCTCTCTCCTTGGGTCTCAGGTGGTCTGTGATCATCTTCTCCCTGTGCCTGCACATCGTCTTCCTTCGGTATCTTCCTTCAGTGTCTGTATCTTATCTGTGTCAGAATTTTCTCTTTACAAGATCACTGGTCACATTGGATTAGGACCCACCATAATGACCTCATTTAACTTCGTGATGTCTCTGAAAACCCCATGTCCAAATACAGTCACATCCTGATGCACTCTGAGTAGGACTTCAACATAAGACTTTCAGCTTAAAAAAAATTTTTTTTAAATATTATGAGGAAAGAAGGGAAAGATCTCAGGCCCCAAACTGTAAAAATGACCAGTCTGTAACTTTCTCTCTCTCGCTCGCTGTGTGTGTGTATATGTCTTTCTCTTTCCCCTCTTACTCTTCTTACTTTTCCTCTCTCTCTCTCTGTGAATAAAAGCTCTAGCCACCAACTCTGTGCAGTCAGTGTGTCTCACAGGATGTAGGCTTTTGACTCCGTATATATGGCGTTCAGATCCTGAGTTGACCTCTTATCAGCCACATGGCTGAGGGTGTGTTGCTTCAGTTCTTTGAATCTTAGGTTCCTTGTCTTTAAAGTAGAATTAATTACCACTACCCCAGCTGATTTTGTTTTGTAAGGGTGATAAGGTATATTTGAGCAAGCCCACTGCACACCAGATTTGGCAAGTGGGAATGATCTGTCCTGAGTACAGGCAATCGTGAGTGTGTTGTAATAGGATTTAAACGTAATGACACAGCTGACTTTTCTTTTTAATGTTTATTTGTTTCTTCAGAGAGAGAGAGAGAGACAGAACTCATAGGCAGAGAGAGAGGGAGAATGAGAGAGAATCCCAAGCAGGCTCCGTAATGTGGGGCTCAAACCCATGAACCATGAGATCATGACCTGAGCTGAGATCAAGAGTTGGATGCTTAACTGAGCCACCAGGGGACCCAACACAACTGACTTTTTAAACAATGTCACTGATAAAATACCCTTCATTGGGGAAGATGGCTTCCACTTCCAACCCATTCTCCCTTGTATGAAACAGAAGGCATTATCTTTCCTTCTATTTCATATTAAATACACGTGTTTTCTTCTCTCTTCCACACTCACTTTCTCTCTCTCTCTCTCTGTCTCTCTCTCTCTCCCTTTCTCTCTCTCTCTCTCACACACACACACACACTCACACACATTTACATCCGTGTCTTGAATTTAGTGATTCATAGGACAGCTTGGCCAAAGGTATTTCACGTGGCTGCACATCTTTTGAATTTATTTTACTCAGAAATCACCAAACCTTACAGCTAAATTATATATAAGAGAGAAGAGTCATCATTTATTGTTGTTTTAAAAAGAGAAGGCCTAGTGGGCTCTGGCTCCAGCCTTCCTCCTCTTTCTTAAATCGCCCCAATTCCTTCAGCCAGCTTCTAGGACTGGGTCCTGCCACAGGACCTCCTGCATGAATTAGAAATCAAAATATCCAACAACTGACCCCAGAAGAAGTGTGTGTGGCTGGGCTCATAGTTTTTTATTATTCCAGGCCCCTTTCTGAAGTGACACCCAATCCCTGGGCAGCTTTATATAAAGTAGCTACTTATTTAATCACTATATTACTTAAGAGCTGTTGTCTATAAACACAAGAAGCAGAGAGCGTATTGGTTGTGCTTAAAACCAACCAAACGCAACAATAAAACACAGAACTCTGAATGGTACATTTCCTTTTTTGGCGGGAGACACGTCTTCACAAAGTATCAAAATGTCTGAACCCTTGGTGTAAATAATTAACTCTTTCTAGTGAATATTCCACACTGGGATTTTACAGAGTAACTTCTTCAGTTTAGATCTTTAACAATGGAAGAAATAGACGGTGGTGTGTATGGTGCATAGGGCATCAGGCAGTTATTAAAATGGTAGTTACAACAGCCGTTTAATAAAATGGAGATACTCGATTATATCATGATAACTGAAAAGAAGCAAAATATGTTATATAATGTATATTAAAATGCTTAACGATAAAAAAGGAACCCATCTAATAAATGTGCAATAATGTCTGAAGCTTAGCACATTCACACAAGAAGGAGTTTGGAAAGAGCCCTTTTCTGTGAGGTGGGGAGTGGGCCTTTCACCAGCTCGTCCTCATTGAGTATCAGAGTCTGCATCCCATCAGCCTGGGCCCGATTTGTATTTCTATAAGGGACAGAATGTGTTATACGGAACTTGGAGGGTGAAGGGAAGGACTGACTTGAGGATGTCATAAAGGAGTCACAGGGTGGGTTAGCATGGTTGAACTCAGTCTGCAATGAAAACTTTATGGAGATTTTTAGACAGTTGGCATACCCATAATTCACATAACTTTTGAATATTACAAAACAGGACTCAATAAAAAGTTGCAATTTCCTCTAAGACATTTATCTGGTTTTCCTCAGTTTGTTCATCTCCACTATCCAAGCTCTCTTCTTCCCACACCATTCTGGACACGTGGACACTTGCCCCAAGATATCATTTCCATGGGGCAGGCCTATGATTATGGGATGCAGGATTTCCTGGGTTCCTGTAGCTAGAAATAGTTAAATTCATAGAGTGTGAACAACAGAAGTTATTAGAAGTTGTGTTCTGAGGGCATTCTGTTCTCCTCCAACATTCTGCACTGCCTCTGGCCACTTCCCTGGTTTGTATGTGAAGTCCCTTTTGGTTTCTGCACCCAGATATGGCTCAATTCCATTGCTGTGAGGTGTAGTGCTGTGGAGGGGTTTTGGTAGCAACAGTTATTTGTCAAAATGGGAAAATACAAATAATAAAAGCAGCGTCTCAGCTGCAGGAGTTTAAATTTCACGCCTCTTCCTGAATACCACGATTCGACCCACCCCAGTAGGATTTGGCTGATGAGTCCCTTCCCATGCATAGCCACGCGGCTCAGCATTGAGAAAGGGGTCTGGGAAGAAATATACGGAGATGTCAAATAGTGACTGCATTTCAGTCCTGGGATTTTGGAGCGGTTTTGTTCCCTTGTTCTCCAAATGTCCTTTAATGACTTTGACCAAAAAACAAACAAACAAACAAACAAAAACCCCTATAACAGTCATGGTAATTTTAATGTGCATAACAAACTTCTTGACACTGTATGAACTAAATTCTGTTAATTTCTCATACATAAGAAATTGAAATATTGAAATTTACAAAGAGGACTAATAAAAAAAACTCCTATTACAATCATTACCATATGCTAGATAGTGGTAGGAATAATTTTCTAATTTAATGATTTGAAAAATATATTTGTAAACCAATATAAATAGGAAGATATGGAGAAGATTGTCCGTAATAAAAAAAATGTGGGTCTGGTTCAGTCCATCCCAACCTTTATTTAATCCCTCATTTATTCATTCAGTTTTATTATGGGTCAGGATGTGGGATTCACTGGGGAGATAAGTCCATAGTCCCTGTCCTCAGGGAGTTTGTAGTCTAGGTTAATTTCCTATCTGAAAAAATACATCCTTGGATTTAACAGATACTAAAGTGAGTGGAGAGAAAAAAACAGTAGATTGCAGAAGTGTATTTTGCATGCATAAAGTATGGAGGATGAAATTTTATTCTCCACTTCATTTGCTGCACACACATATACACACACAACCACACACACCCACTTTCAACTCTCTCTATCTGGCTCAGAGACTCAGGATTTATACCAGTCATAAAAATAGTCATTTATTTAAAGCACTTTTTCTTGAAAGGTGCAGTTGGCTCCCCCATATCTTGCTCCATCCCACCTGTGCCTAGGGGTGGGACATAAAGGAGCCTCTTACATCTCAGGGGTCATCACTCCTACAGGGGAAGGGCGGTGTGAGGTCAGAGACAGGAAAGTCCCTGGCAGCAGTGCTAATAATAAAGGTGACTTCTGTGTTTCATTGATTCGTTGGGTTCGCGTGTCAGAGCATCAAACAGTTGGTTTAGGAGAGAGCTCACCTTGGTCCTGCAGTACCTGAATGGAAGAACACCTGGCCAGACAAGCATATCCATGTGGCATCATTCAAGAACGTTTATCATGAGACAAGTGAGTGGTAGTGAGTGGGGGAATACTGCAGTACAAAAGAAAAATAATATCACCCCGAAAATCTTTTGTTGTAAAAGTTAGATGTGGAGGGAACATATAGAATGTTTGGTAAAATACAGGACGATGGGTCCTAAAACACTATTTGGAAGCTATTTTGAAAATAACAAACTGATATGAAAACATGAAGCTCAGCATACAAGAAAAGGTTGCAAGTGAATAGCTACCTACCCACAGTTAAGACAGAAAGGATCAGAAAGTCAAATCCAGGCTGATTAGGATAAATTCAAAGCATGTCCCCTAAATAGATCCCTCCTTCCCCTCTCTCTCCCTGCACTCTTTCTTTCATATTTATTGA